TGTTTCTAGTAAACCCAACATCAGAAAACCAGTTGCGGAGTATTTCTTGACAAAGTGGCAGGCCCTATGCAAGAAGGACAAGAAAGTTGGACAACCTCCCTTTTGTCTTGGGTTACTTATCAGTTATGGAAATCGATTGCTAGCAAACTCTAGTAATAAACTTGTTGATTTTGGAAGCCGAGTCAGACTGTTTATTAAGCATCTTTTGCAAAAGACTATGTTGTCAAAGTTAGATCTTTGCATCTTAAAGGTTTAATCCAACGGCTGAAAGGAAGCCTTGAGGTAGTCACATGGGAAGTTATCACAACGATAAGGACCAGTTTTTAGATTACAACCTTGAGGACAAGGTTGTATTGCAGCAGCGAGTAATGATATGATATGTAATGTATAACACAGTTTGTAGACAGTTTTTAGATAGTTTGGCAAAAATAAAACATAGAAGTTAGTATGAAGTGGTTAACGGTAGTTAGGAGTTTAAACACCAATTAGGGGAAGTTTTAATTAGTAGTTAGACAACTTTTGTCTTTTAAGGAGGGGTGTTCTAGTTCTGGTTGTTGGGTGTTTTATTACAGAAACAGGATCTATCTTGTGTAAGGGAATGTTTTCCCTTGATTGTTGTTGATTGCTTTCAGTGTATTTCTGTTTCCATTCAATGAAACTGTTCTCACTGTGAGGATTCATAAATCTGTGGTGAGTATTTATTCTGAGATCGTATCTACGTTTCTTGACACCAAGAAACCTAACATATGCCTATTTCTAATATGGCCGTATCTTGTTATTTAGTGTGTTTGGTTGAGTGTATTATGTAAAATTGATTCTAAATAGAATTGATTTTGAAGTTGTGTGTGCTTTATGTTTGAGTGTTCTTATTCAAAAAACCAAGTTGTCAATTTTACTGTATGAAACTTCTGATCTAACATAAAAGTTACTTGAAGCTGTTTTAATATACCAAAATCAGTGAAATTTGAAGCTTAGCTGAGTAACAACACTAAAAAAGTAACAGAACTTGGACTTATGGATGGTGGGGTGGTCTTGTTCTGGTATTATTATTGACTAATATATGTGGTAACATTATGATTGATGTTTGGTTGGATATCAGGTTTTTGGAATGGACAAGAAGTACTGGTTCATTCCTTCATATTCAGATGAGGATATCCGAAAGATGCCAGCTCTACAAGGTCTTGACTATCCTTCAAAACCTGACTTTGATTCCCAATAGTTCTAAAAGCTAATATATATTCACTTCATGTGACAAAAGACATGGGGAGACTCCACAACCATCTACTTCCACTTTCTAACACAATGTAGCCTGTAAGTAAATGTGGCCCCCAGCGATTCATCTACACAGACACCTAGTATGATGTTTTGTTTTGTATTTTTTTTTTTTGAAATTGTTTTTTTAAGGTGCTTGTGTCATGTTGAAATGAAGGAAGCAATGGGGGCCAAGGTAGTGTGATGCTGGTTTCTGGGGCTAATGTGTTTATGTTCCCATAATGATAGGAACTGTTTTCCCAAGCAATGCAATATTCTTCTTACATTTCCTTTGTATTCTGGTTGAGTGAAATAACAATCCCTTTTTGTGCTGGAATTTACTCTTTAGTTGCAGACTAGTTTCTGAATTTTAAATGTGGATGAGCTTGTCACTAAAATTTTGAAGTTCAATCAAAGTTGTTCACAGTAGTTTCTGAAAAGAGGCTCTTACATTAGTTTCTCATTATTTGATTGCAAAACCAAACAAGTTTCTAAAAAGAACTATGGTTCATGAAACTAAGGTTGTTCTTTCTTTCACCTTAACAATTTTTACCTTTCAGATCGTCTAATATGAAATGTTAAAACGATGTTCTGGTTGGTGAGATAAGAAATTTTTGGGTGGAGGAAGTAACTATCTGAGACTATTGTTCAGTAGCAGGAACAAAACACTTAAATATAGGTTAAGTGTTTAAATATCATTTATTAATTGATAAATGAAATGAAATGTTTTACAAAATTTAAGTATTTGTAGTAAGGAGATATCTATAGTTTGGTTTTGTTCTGTTCAATAGCTGTTATTTTATTAAAAGGGTTTAATTTTAAAATGATAGAAAATTAATGTCTCAATTATACGATACTTTTGTTTTAGTGTGAATAATTCATATTTTGTATATATCTTTAATTATTGATAATTTTATTTAAAGTTACTGAAATTTAACTTAGACATCAAGCAAAGATAATGAATGATATAATTTTTATAGTGGTTTGAACTTGTAGAGATAGTATGCAAAATGTTCTTATAAACATAGTTTAAGAGATTAAGCATTTTTCTTTTTTAACTTTTCAAAACTTTTTTTTTAAAGATAGTTCTTCTTTCAACATTAAAATATAACTTTTGAGGATAAAACTGTAATGAAACTTTAAAACAAATAATATTATATATACAATCTTAACAACTTTATTTTAATAGATATTTTATTTGGAATTTTTATTAAAACAAATAATCCGTTTTCAAATTCATATAATTTAAAAGCATTGTAAACAAAAGAAAATATTCTCTAGATATTTAGGTATAAATAAAAACTGTTAAAAAACATTATATATATATATATATATATATATATATATATATATATATATATATTCCACTAAATTCTAAAAGTTATTTAGGGTGTGTTCACTTCGAGGGTATTTACTGTTTACTAATATCATCGAGCGATGGAAAGTAATGCATTGTGTGTTCACTTGAAGGTATTTGCGTGCAAGTAACGTGATTGATTTGCGAGATGCACTTTTTTTTGGTCACCCGCTAGGTTGAGAAGATTTGGAGGGATAGTAGCATGAATTACTCATGTGCCCCTCACCTTTTAAATTTTTCCAGAACCACTGTTACATGTTTTATATAATATTGGTAGCTGCACTGTGTACTCACGCGAGTAAGTCAAAGCTTCTATTTGCAGAAGAGTTTCCCAGCTTTGCTTCAAACAAGACAAGAACAGTGAAGATTCGCGCATGCATAGTCACAGTACAGATATTGCTTTTGACCGTGTGGAAAAAGGATTAAATAGTGGTAGGTGTGGTTGTTGTGTTAATTACATAAGCTACAAGAGCCTTGTCTGGTGGTTCTTGTGTTAATTGAAGAAGCGAGAATAGCCTTTGGCTGTGCAAGTTGAGGAGCTGGTAGTGTGTTTGCAGTGGTTTTGGAAGAGAGAAAGTCAAGGTGAGTTTTGATAGTAGTTGTTTACAGCTTGTGCCTATCGATTTATTGTTACAGGTGATGGAGGTAGATGAAGACATCAGCTGGATCGATGGAGGAGACGAAGAACACATTAGTTGATGAATAAGATGAGTGTGCGAAGGTGGAGAACGAAGACCAGTTTCAACGTATGCAGAGCGAGCGATGGCGTATCCGGATCAGAGATGCACTATCCGGTTACACGTGAATGCAGAAATCCAAGCGAAATGGTATCCGATTACAGTGATGCGTATTCGGATACCAGATGGGTATTTGGTTGGCTTGCATCCGGTTACACACCCGATCTTCGTTCCCTGCATGTGCACCAGTTTGGTTCGCTGTTGGCAGTGTTTGGCGTGGAGAATAGTCGGAGAATGTCGACGGTGCAGTAGCCATGTGATGAAGAAATTGGTAGCAGAGCGAAGCGTGTCGTCAGAAGGATGTTGTCGGTGAAGTTGGAGGACGCCACGCTCATCCGATGCATGTTTAAGTAGTGGACGAAGGTGTCAGACATGATGGAGGATGGAGGCAGCATTTAATGGTCCTTCAATCAGCGACAAAATTTTCTGATTGGTGAAGGATGCACCGAGGTTGGAGGGACAGGTGAAGCACTGGACGAAGGAGGAGGATGGGCACACATGAGGACGCTGAGAAGAACGCATATATAGTTTTATTGATTCAAATATGATAGGGCTAACGATTATTTTTTGATGGTTTGTGATGCAGATCTTGTGAGGGTGGTGAAGAACAAGCTTGAACATTCAATTGCAAGCTCTTCTATGGTGTAAGTTGATAAAGCACCGTGTGTGTTGTGTGTAGTCCAGGGCATTAGCAAATTAACGGGTTTGTTGATAAATGTAGGGAAGAAGTTGATCATGGTTTGTTTTGGTATTTTGAAGGTGGTGGACCGGAGTAGTTGGTTATGGTGAAGAAGGTTCTTTGTGCATGTTTTTGTCCAGCAAGCAGAAGTTATTTCTTTGGTAGAAGGTTATTTATGAATGGTTTTCGGGCAGTCAAGATAATTCACTTTCATAGTTGAACATTGAAGATTTTGACTCATTGTTCTATATTCATTTGTTTGGTTCATGAACTGGATCTACTCTGTTCAAGGTACATTATGATTTAAAAAAAATTTCTACATTGCTTTTGATGCATGATCTAATATCATCATATTGTCAGGTTTGCTGTTACGTAGTTGAAAAACATAGATAATTACCATCCAACTTGGCAAGACAACAATAAGTGAATCAATCAGTACATTTCTGGTTGGGGTTTGAGTGTTTTGTGTAATTCATACTTGGAAATCCACTTACACAGATCTTCAACAGTTAAGTGTGATTGTTTGTTTATTTTTAATAAATATAAGAATGTGTTTTTAATGTTTTAGTTAAATATATGTCTTTTAATTTTAGTATTATACGAATGTATTAGTTAAATTTGTTTATATATGAATTTATGATATATTAATTTATGATAACATGAATAAGATATGTTTCATGAATATATGAATGGATGATTTTAATTATAGTATGATTATTTGTTTAAGTAAAAATAGATGGAAGAAGAATTAGATTTGTCGTACTTGGACTGTGAAGATATAAACGACGATGTGGTTGGTGTACACTTTAATATAGTCGCAATGCTACATCAACAATTACAACTAACAACCTCAGTGGCTGCACTAACAATGTTATGCATTGTTTGTCATGCCTTGAATATATTGAATATGTGCTCGAGTGATCCAAGTAGTGTTAGCACTTTCTTTCCCGACAAAGACCTTCGCAGGTAACATTTAATGTCGTACTTGGTGCATACTAATCGATGTCGTGACATTATTCGGATGGGTTCAGAGGCATTTATTAATCTTTGTGAGAGACTAAGAACAACTTGGTTAGTTAAAGATGCCATTTGTTCAATAGTGGAGGAATAAGTAGCTCAATTTCTTCATATAATTGGGCATAATGTTAAGAATCGAAGTGTGACATTTTTCTTTCATCGATCTGGGGCGATGGTTAGCAAACACTTTCACGATGTGTTGAATGCTATTTTAACTCTAGAATTAGAATTTTTAACTCAGCCATCAGGAGACGACGTTCATCCATATGTCTTAAACAACAATCGATTTTATCCTTACTTTAAGGTAACCATATGAATCTGTCAGTTTTAAAATAATGAAATGAAATAATGTTCATGTTATGCAGTTGTATGATGACTTGTTAATTGAATGTTTAGGATTGCTTAGGGGCCATAGATCGTACTCATGTTCGTGTGAGGGTGGCAAGAACAGATGCTCCGAGATTTCGTGGAAGAAAAGATTGGCCAACTCAAAATGTGCTTGCCGTATGTGACTTTGATATGAAATTCACATACGTTCTAGCAGGGTGGGAAGGAACGACATCTGATTCTAGAATCTTAAAAAATGTTCTCGATCGAGATGACCCGTTGGTCATCCCCCAAGGTAAGTGTCTTCATTGGGATGTTATGATTGGTTGTTTATTAGTTAGTAAATGCTGATGTTATGCATTATTGTTTGAAAGTACTATCTTGGCGATGCTGGGTTTATGCTTAAAAGTACAGTATTGACACCATACAGAGGCGTGAGATATCACCTTAAAGAATTCACACGCACAGGACCACAAAATGCAGATGAGCTCTTTAATCATAGACATTCATCATTGAGAAATGTTATAGAAAGAACATTTGGTGTGTTGAAGAAAAGGTTTCCCCGTGGAAGTGAACCACATTATGGATTGGAGACAATGACAGACATCATTCTAGCTTGTTGTATCCTACACAACTTTATCCGTGGAGTTGATATTGATGACCCATTGCTTAATGAGGTTTATAATGAGTTAAATGAAGGGGAAGATCATAATGTGTCATCTTCTCAAGTTCGAGAAGATGATTATAGGGTCGGTACAACTATTAGGGATGCCATAGCTAATGAAATGTGGCGAGATTATGAAAATTAATAGTATTGTATTTGATATCATTTTATTATGACTGTGTTTTTTGAATATGACATCTACTTGGTTTTATGATTAACTCTACTTCACTTGTATAAATTTTCTTTATCAAATAGGTTAAATATGGACAGGGGTAAGGGACAAATGATCGTGTCATCTACTGGTACAAGAGAGTTCATTAAATGGACTGAGGACATGGATGCTA